ATAAAATACATAGATATTGGTGTAAATCAGTTTTGTTGGATGCAATAATGCTATACAAAAAAAAATCATGAATCCACTCATGCATTACCATAAAGTATAAAGAATAAACAATACTTTTTCGACCGGACCACGGTCAATTAATCAGAATAACTATATGATGGCAACTTGGATATTAAAATCCGTACAAAGAAAGGTATATAAAATAAAATGTGTATACAATATATAAAAAAAGTATATAAAGCAATTTTTGCTCAAAATACTGCGCCAAGCACTTTGAAACTATACAATAGGAAAGTGTGTAATAACACACATGACATTCGCTAAGCTAAATTACAATTTTTTATCCCAGTCTACGGCTTGCCTTATGAATAACTGCTTTTTTATTGGTTTGGTTTTGGTTTTCAATTCATTCAAGTGCTTGGATAAGTCTTTTTTATTCACTGTTCGGAAAAAGGCAAGCCGAGGGCTTTAGAAATAAAGCAAAAGATTTCGGTCATTTCCTCAATCTGAAAGGTTGATATGTGTCCGAAAAAATGAAGATAAGTTTTTTAAACACTTACCATTTTTGCAGTTGGTTTTCCAGCTCCGTGGCCAGCTTTTGTTTCAATGCGAATTAACAGCGGGTTTTCTTGTTGGGGCAAATTTCCAATTTTCTCTTGCAATTCAGCACAAAACTTTAGAGAATGTAAAGGCACAACTCGATCATCATGATCGGCAGTTAGAAGTAGGGTTGCTGGGTATTGCGCTCCATCTGGAAAAGAAAGGTTGTTCATAAATTTTAACTATTGGATAAATTTATGTACATACTCTTGGGAACTGTGATATTGTGAAGTGGTGAATATTTGTAAAGATATTTGAATTCATCTTCTTCATCTGAGCAGCCATAATCTGACTTCCAGGCATAGCCAATTGTAAACTTGTGGTATCTCAGCATGTCTAAAACGCCAACTTGGCAAATGGCAGCTCCAAATAGTTCCGGTGCCTGATTAATGCAGGCAGCCACCAGAAGTCCCCCGTTGGATCCTCCCTGAATAGTCAGTTTACTCGCACTTGTATAGTTTTCTTCAATAAGGTACTTTGCGGCATGTTGGAAGTCGTCAAAACAATTTTGCTTGTTTGCAAATCTACCTCCATTGTGCCAATTGTCTCCATATTCGCTAACATTAATGTATAATATAAATATTACCAACTTCGGATAATTTGCATCACTTCAACAGTCAAGTCGATTAAGTTCTTACCCTCCTCCTCGAATATTGGCCAAAGCGTAGACCCCATTAAAATTACCAACAAACACTAGTCTCGATATGGCAAACGAAGGAGTCAAATTTACGTTGAATCCACCGTAGCCGTACAGTAGACAGGGTTGCGATCCATCATTCACAAACCCGATTTTATTAATAATAAACATCGGGATGTTTGTGCCGTCTTTGCTTTTATAAAACACTTGCTTGGTTTCGTATAAAGATGGATCGAAGTCAGCGACTTTGGTTTCGTAATACCTCTAAACCCCAAGATGAAATGTTACAAGTGTTCCAAATATCAGATTATTTTACCTCTTCGGTGATTTGATCTCCATTAAATTGCACTCTATAAATTATGCTCGGTGTGAGAAACGAGCAAACACTGTAAAACATTTCTGAGTGGTGCCTCTTTCCGCTGATTTCACTCACTGTTCCAACGTCTAATTTGAAATCGTAAATTTTATTTCCAGTGTTAATATCGAAAATATGCATGGTATGCTAAAAAGAAGCAAATATAATATCATCGCCTTGTATTCGTTTAATCTCTCTCACTTTAACATCTTTTAAATAGCAAATGACCAGCATTGTTTTATTAATCACTTTTACGTCATGCAGAACATCCTTCGGATGTTCGGCAATCAGATTTGTCCACTCTGATTCTGACGGATTGTTAAAATTGATAATGATTATTCTGTAATTCATCGCGTCTTTATTGGTTCTAAAATAGAACTTGCTGCCCACGTTAGTAATATACTAAAAATGAAGATCATTATTTTAGCAGAACTGATTCGCCCCTTGTGCAAGTAGCTACTACCTTATAATCAGCATCAAATGTTGTTACTACTGGCGTTAATTCCAACGGTTTATTAATTCGGTTAGTTGGATCTATTCTTGCGAAATATAGCAGATTGTTTTTGCACCCCTTTATTGGCGTTATCACCAAATATGTGCCGCAATGACTTACACAGGCACCCCTGTAAATGTTTTGAAAAATCTGCTAGAATTCAATCAACGTGCGAGAAATGAACCAAAATCTCTTAAAAAGGTCTTACTTTCAACAGCCCTTTTTAGACAATACAGGGGGCTGATAAGTTTTTGCCTATATTTCTGGAACTATTTGAGGTACACTTTTCCATTAATCAAAAGCGGAGATTTTGGGGTATTCTACGCAAAAAAACTATTCTGCTGTTCTGATTTTAATGCATATTAGTGACTCGTTTGACTTACATTCTGAGCTCTTTGTCTTCAAATTCAACCACTACTACATCTTGAGATTGATCAGTTCCCAGTTCGTGATAATAAAGCTTTTGATTTTCACTCGAAGTAGTTTCTGACCCATCGGCTTTTCCCGTCTGATTTAAGTACCCCTGCAAAAAACAGTAGTAGTGAGATTAGAATTGACTGGAAAAGAAGGCTGGATTTAAAAGGGCCAAGGCATAAAATATGTCAGATTTTATACTTACTCCGTAAAAAAATCCTTTATTATCATGCATCCATGTCATTGGGGAATATTTAACTTTTTTCAGTGTTTCAGGATGATCTTCACCTACACATCAATAAAAATTAAAATATAGGTACTCTTTGGCCATCTGCATGCTGTGATGGTTTCAAGGAATCGCATAAAATTAGTCCCATTATGAGGAAGTAAGCGCTATATATGAATTTGGAGCACTTGAACAAACCTGTTTCAACATCTCTAAAGCGTATTTCAATCCAATCAGATCCACTACTGCTCAGTCCATAAGCAAAAGTGCTTCCATCATCTGAAAAACAGTTGCCTGAGAGGGCTACAGTGCCATCTTCGGAAAAACCGTTCAAATCCAGAAACACCCTTTCTTTGCCTTTCAGGGAATCCTGAACATATAATACGCTCTGATTTTGTAGACCTAAAATCCATTGTTCTATTGAACTACATGTGTTCTTCAGACTCGCTCACCTACCAGTATTTCTATATTGAAAATATTTGTTTCCATGCTTAAAGGGAACTGAAAACCTCATGAAGTCCCAAAGTTGCGTTATTCTACTTCTAATCGAGTCTTTATAAGGGCAGTTCTCCAGATAAGGTCTGCTAATTTCATTTTGAGCATTGACGAAACTCCGCGTTTCTTCTGAGTCTGGATCCTCCAACCAGCGGTAGGGATCGGAAACCTGAAGAAAACTCAGCAGTTCATTAATATGTTCTAGTGCTCTGAAGCACGATTTGTCCTTACCTGAGTCCCAAAAAAATCGTCTTTTACAGTTTCATCTCGTCGAGGTTTTGGGTACGTGAACGACATGGTCCTATGCAAGGGCACTGAAAATAAATTTCTAACAACTTGGAGATTAAAAGCAGACGAAATGAAGAGAAAGCTTTTTTATTACCTAAATTTACCAAAATTTCGAGCTATGAAATGCATTAAATGATTAGTTTATGTAAATATTTAGGTTAGATTAAACGTCATAGGATTCTTTCACCTTGAGACCCCATAAGCAAATTAAAATGTGAAAAATAATCTCTAATAATTTAAAAATGTATTAAGTAAATTTCAAATTCGCAAATAATGAAATACAAATCCACTTTACATTGTTATGGCTCCAGCTGCGAATTCTTCTTCCGTTCGAATCTATGGTTAGTTTCTTTATCTTCCCACGCTTGTAGATGGTGGAAAATAAGTTAAATGTTGTTTTTATTTGGCATATGCATAATGAGTGGATAAATTATGAACATTTTCAAATAAATACCACAATTCCTGCGTTTATTACACGGATATACATTATCTAATTATGCAAATGTTCTAATGAAAGAGATGTTATAAATATTGCTGCGGAAAAGTAAAATATTTGCCCAAAACCATGTACAAAAAAACACAAACTTAACAAATATTGGAACAATACAACTGATAAACTCACATTTAAATGTTCAACGTGAATAAACATCCAAATGAGCACGTTTCCCTCCATTTTGCAGCGCCCTCTGGATCGACGGCATTGTTGTTTTGATTGTGGATGTGTGATTTAATTTTGTTAAAGTCTCGGAAATTTGACTAAAAAAAATGTTTTCCACACCGAAAAGAAATAAACTTTCGCCGAATGGTGATAGTGAAGTGATTCTGACGCCGAACAGTCGAGTTTTAAAGGTCTCTTGCTTTAATATCGCAGACAAAGCGATGGAAAATGCAAGCAGCCCAAGCCATCACGAAAAAACTGTTATATCGCCTGGGGAGACAAGGCGAGGGAGGCCTAGGGCTGATGTTCTGACCACTCTGATCCTTGAAGGCTCCACCTCGCCCAGTTCCATTAAATGCATGTATTGCAATCGGGTCTTTCCCAGGGAAAAGTCCCTGCAAGCCCATCTCAGAACACACACAGGTGAGTGGCAAACAGTTTAAATACTGCCGTTATTTAAATGTCTGTTGATTACTTAATAAGCGTACACAATTCATTCCTAAATCCATCAGGCTTGGCCATCGGAATTCCATGGCAAAGCCATTGAGAAACTTTAAATCCGCTTCTATTTATATAACCTCAGGTTACCACCTGTGTTAAATCTGTGGCCTTTAATTTACCTTTAAAAGTCAGTGTACCTTGAAGTTTCCAAGAATTCTAACTGATCAAGCTCATTCTTTGTCAGACTTTCAGGTTATATTATTTATTTTGATAGTTTATTAGTTAATGTTAAGTTCACTTTGGCTTCATTTTCTCCAATGAATGAAAATATCCAATTCTTCTCTACAATGTTAAATTTCAAGTGCACATAAGTATGTCCAGGACTGCTCTACTTTTTTCTCCCTATACATACATATTTAACCGCATTTGCCCTTTTTAAAATCGTTATTGTGTTAATATTTATTAATTAATGACCGGAACTTGTTTTCTTGATTTCCGGTAGTTTTTGTATTAAGACGATCAAGAATTCCTCACTTCCATCAAAACATGAGTCTGGCATAAGAACAAATTCACGAGTTTTGCTAAAAAAATGTCTTTGAAGAACTGGACTTCAATCAGAGGAGCCAGACATTTTCTCTCAGTTCAAGTTAGGCCAGATCGAGTTTTTTCATCAAAAGAATATCGCAGTACCCTTTTGATCGTGTGCTTACGGGACACCCTGTATGTTGCCTGTAAAATGTGACACAATAGCAGCACTAGAGAACCTGCGAGGAAAATGCGAAACCCGAAGAGAAAATATGGGCTTTAAAACTCTCAATCAACTCTTATTCTATTGGTTCATCGACCGCTTAATTTGACCAATTACAAAAAGATAGTTTCCGAAAAGGGCTATAAAAAAGAACATCTCTGATGCTGAAGCCGATCTGCTGTTTCCAACTGTCCCTGAGGCAAATGCCCTAGAGACCAAAACGTTGATAATTTCGCTCCTATTTCCTTAAAGGTCCCTGAAAATGACTTATTAGGTCTATAACAAAAAATATTTCTGTAAGTAGTATCTTGAACACTTCCATACGCTTTTAATTTTGTTTCTTGATATAAAACCTCTTAATTACTGTCAGTGGCTTGGCCTTAAAATGGGCTTTTTTTGTAGGTGAAAAGCCATACGCTTGCGACTTTCCGAGATGCACCAGAAAGTTTGCCCAATCAGGTCAACTGAAAACCCATCAGCGACTCCACACAGGAGAAAAACCTTTCATTTGTGTTGCGCCGCATTGTGCAAGACGATTTACTCATGCCAACCGACATTGCCCAGACCATCCAGAATTCACCCTGAAAAGGTTCATTGCGAAACGGGAACCTCTTGATAAGTCCTACGATGAGACGCACACGGCGGAAATCAGGGAATGGTTACAGAATTTTGATAGGTAATTCGCAGTTACTTTTCTTGCATATCACTGTGAAATTTGACTTTTAGGAGATCAGCAGAGTCTTAATGCCTTTTGTTTTTTCATGCGAAAGCTTCTGAAATAGTGTAAACGTATTTTACAATTTTGAGTGTAACGGTGTTATATAAGTACATTAATTGCTGCTCTGTTGAAAGTTGGTTTACACCAGTGATAATAACCAGTCCATATCTAGATAGTTTCATTGCTTTTGCTATTCATGTCGGCATTTTTGCTAACAACGAAGAAATATAAACGACTAAAGGGAATGTTTCGATCTTGGATCTTTGTTATTTCGATTTGAATGATCAATTGAGTGCTGAAGATCTTGCTTGACACCTTTACAGACGCTCCAAAAGTTTATCAAAATCAAACGAAAATCTGGATTCAACGCCAAGGAAGTCCATCCTTTTTAAGACCGAAGAATCAATGTTTAGCAGCGGAAGTTCGACGTATTACTCTGGCTGCTCTCAAAACGGCACTGATATCGAAAACTCACCAAATTCTGAACTGGATGATCTTGAAACCTCAACATGCAGTATTTCTGAAGGTTCGGAGAATGAATTGAATTCAGGTAACACGATGAGGATTTTGACGAATACCACAATTTCGATTCAGATGAATTACCTTACTTTGAATCTTCCCTAAGTCATTGAAGAGAGAATAGTTTAATGCAATAACAACAATTTTTAATAAAGGTTCGCCACAGCCAAAGCCCTCAGAACTGCCCAAGAAGCGATGGTTACGTGAAGCTACCCAAGAGCAAAGACTTTGGGATTCCACTACAGATTTGGCATCTCCTATAAATTGGGGTGAAGATGGATATACTGAAGAACCCAGTCCTGTAGAAGTTGCCGAAAATCAGAAGCGCCCTTCCGTTCTGGTTTGTGTGCAAGGGGGTAAGTTGGAACACTCATCACACTTGTCTCTTCTCTACTTTGCTGGTATTTTAGGAAAGAGCAAAGAAATATCAAATGATGAAATTCAGGGAGCTATGGCATTGGTTGAAATGAAAAATGGCCTAAATTGCAATTATAGTTACAGAATATAACTAGAATCGATTTAGAAAATGATTGAGGGACACGAATGGTTTGTTATAAAATTGGGAACATCTTATAGCGCCACTGAAAATTTAATTTATTTGGTAGAGTAAGATGTTATTTGAGGTCTCGTTGTCGTGGGAGCACTTTCAACAAGACATCAATTTGTCTGCTATCATTTTGCAAGCGCCTCCATGAACACGAGGGTTTCTTATCAGATATTTTTACAATTTTATTTGTTATTGTTAAACTTCTGATCTGAAGTAATAGATTCCTGCTTTTTATTAAGTTTTTTTTGAAATGTGGTACCTTTAGTTATTTATTCATGTTATGTTTGTTCCTATGGGAGGAATTCCGATTGTTTTATTTGCAAATTCAGTCCTTTTGAATTGGTTTTACGACATGAAAGTGAACAAACATTTTGCATTTTATTCAATGAAATTATCAAATTGTAACGCATGTTTTTTAATGCGATTTTTTCCTTTTGTAAATACGTCTTGACCGCTTCCTATTTATGTCTTCAGCGATTGTAAGTTATAGTTTTGTGCACTTAAGGTTTATTTATAATAATTTTCACCCGAAACTAACAATTATAGTTGGTTGTACCGATGATCAATCGTAAACATGTATTACAAAATTTTGTGACTTTTGTGAAATATGAATCCTTTAACATGTATTTTGTTTATTATTTCTCGAAAAAATACTGCGTGATGATTATAATTCAACTGGTTAAAGTCCGTGTCCCATGCATCCGTTTATTCGATGATACGAAAGTGTTTCTATTGGTTGGAGGACACAGGCTTTAATCCACTGTGAAGAAATCTGCAGTGCAGTCGTCAGTGTGGAAAAATTGTTTCTTTACTATCAGCCCTTTTCAAATTTGTTTTAAATATTCATTCACTAAGTACTACCCTGCACAGAGATGCCAGGTCTACCGATTTTTCGGCAGGTCTACCGATTTGTCAAGGAACCTACCGATCATCGGTAGATCGGTGCAGACCATGCAGATTTCTACCGAAAAGTAACAAACAAAAATTTCCGTGGATTACTTAAAATAATATAACATATTTCCATTCATGATTAAAGTACTAGGTAATGGCAGATATTTTATTTTAGCACACCTAGTATTTTAGAGTTCTTTTTCAAACATAAAATGAATCAAGCCTGCCATATAGATCATAAATATGATAAAATTATGTTTTATGGATCCTTCAATAGTGAAATCAGGTACAATTTACTTCTGATGTTGCAATAATATTTCCAAATTTAATAAATGATAGTGAATTACAAGGTCTGGACACAGAATGACGTCTGTAGCGAAATGTTGAAGAAATTTTTGAAAATATTGAAGAGTTTTGGAGCCAAGTACAAATATTGAAATATGGAGCTGATACATTCGTGTTTCCAATTTTATTTGTAACCTGCTTATTCTATCACACTTATTAGCCAAGTTGAACGGATATTTTTACAGGTCAATCTCAGGATGCAATGAACACATTCATGTATTTATGTATTCATTGTATCATGGGTTAATCTAATGAAAACTAAGTTGAGCAATAAGCTAAAAACAAGTGCAATTTCATGTTTACTTCTTTACTGACTCATGTTTATTTTAGTATTCCTGTAAGTATAAAAATTTTAAGAAACGCGCGATTTTATGGAGCTTCTAATAATGAAAGAAAAATCAGTCCTACCGATTTTCTACCGAAAAGTGTCGAGCTTATCTACCGAAACTCGATTTTCGGACCTGGCAACCCTGACCCTGCAGTCGCTACCTTAGCGAGCAAATATTAGGAGCAGGAGTTTAGCAAAACGCTATTTTTTGTCGTTTTTGTTCTCTATTGGCTAAATTGTGCTGCCACAAATATTTCGTTTTGCATCAGAGCATCAGCATGTTGAAGGAGGTAGCAAGCAAAGATCAGCCGCCCTTGTGCGACTGGCTGCTGAAGTTGTGTTTGGCCTTGAAAGACGTGTGGGCAAAGTGGGTGATGCGCACATCCACCCGCGGGTTGCGCCGGCTCGGTTTGTCTCCTGCGCAGAAAATCGGAAACAGTCCATTAGCGCTTGGTACTGGCCACAGGGGGGCTGATGGCACCTTTCACAAAATATCCCCCCAAATACTTAAAATATGCAAAATAAAAAAAAATAAAGGGGATGTTCTGTGGCTCCTCGCTTGCTTTTTGGGAACTGGCCGTTGACTGCATAGATAAAGACGAGTACTGACTGAAACAAAGCGGGTTAAGTGAAGTTCATAGGGCTGCCGCCCCTTAAACTCACCTGCTAACATACTGCAGAAAAATACCCCTGCAGCGTTGTCACTAGTTGAAAACTATCCGAATGTAATGGGCGAAATGCACGGAAAATGTTGCATATATAAGCATATTATATAGTAATCTATAGCAGCTTCCAATGCATTAGTAGTGGGTACAGATGTACATCAGTGTTAAAGTTTTATACAATTGAAAAGTATTTCACTCTTTCGACGAAATATTGCATTTACTTATAGTGCAAATTGAAAGCAAAACGTGGCAACGTATTGGAAGGTCGGACAACTGAGTTCTGGTGCACCTTGGGAAACCTTCAGTGGCGTACCAACATAATTTTACACTACACAAATGAAAGTTACTGCAAAATCGGGCTAGTTTGTAGCAAAATAACAGCCAAGGAATAGCAAATTGTGCTTGTTTTTTTTTTAAGATATGCCATAACGGAAACGAAATTTTCCTCAAACTTGAAGCTGTTGGTTATATATTTTGCAATACAGTGCGCAATCGTGGCATCCATTTTGTCATATTAGTAAAGTGGAAGGGGATTTGACGCACCATTGATTGCCACATGTAATTTTTTTACTGCCTTAAATCTATTGATTGAAATGCTATAGAATATGCAAATGGTTTCGGGATAGAATAACCTTCTATCCCGCAAAAAACAGAATATATCTGGATACGATAGAGGCTAATACTAACGCCCATTATGTTACAAACAACTTGAAAAAGCCCATAGCAATTTTAAACCGACTGAAAGAAACTAGTAGATCCGGTTTGGTCGGATTTGCGTTTATTTATGGGTTAAAGCGCAAAAATGTCGAGAATCAGAAATATCCTTGAACAGTTAGACCTTGGAAAGTGTGCAAATAGCCTCGCGAACCACACAACTACGTCATCACTTGTGTCGTCACAGTCTCTAACTGTCAATGGACGTGTGTGATTGGTTGGCGAGTGCGGTTGGCGGCCATCTTCTAATGATCGTCCGAAAGGTGGCTCTAAATCCTCCTCAAGTGAAGTAGAGGACCCTGAAGAGAGGCTAGCGAGAAGTTACCGTCGAAACCCGACAACAACCGAGGGGAAGTATTAAAGCCGAGACCGAGCGTTGTCGAACTCGCCCGTGAGGTTCTGTGGTATGACAGGAACGGAACGCGCTGACTCCTTCAAAAAACGTTTATTATTAAAACAATTCGGATAAATGTGTGTGAATTATGTGAATATTGCACGGGCGAAACTGTGAAGCAACGTCGTATACCCTCGTTCAGCTCCATTTTACAGAACTAGCAATATTAAAGTCAGTACAACGTCAAGTGTTCCTGGTGATGGCGCTATGGCCGCTAAACAAGTAAGGAGTAAATCCGCCTTAACCTCATTTTAAACTTTTGTAAACAAGAAGTGACCCTAAGCAGCTATAATATAGAGGATTGCTCTCACAATTCAGCAGTCTAGGCAATCACTAGCGATGTGATGCGAAACATGGGAAATGAGTGTTTGTTGACACGACTGCGAACAACATTTCTTGACTGTTAGCCCTAAATAAAGACCAGCGCAATGAATAATAATGCAAAAAATAACTCGAACAACTCCTCTGGAAGCACATCGTCTAATAGCAACTCCACTAATACCATCAATAGTAGTGTTAAACAGGAGAAGCAAGATGATCCGGAAATCAGAGAGTTGGCTGCTAAGTTTATGGAGGCAAATAAAGCTAAAATGGCACTGCCCCAAAGAAATCAACCAACTGCGGGGCAGAGCATGAACATTCTAACATTTTTGAGCGACAAACCTAAACTGAAATCCACAACTAGCACAGAGGAAACTAAAAACATTGATGAAGAATCAGTTAAAGGTAGATTTGGATGGACTTCCATGGGTAAAGTACATATTCCATACATTATACGCTCAGGAGAAAACTACTGTGCTGTTCGGATGGTTGAAATTAAAGTTCTGAACAAGTGGTTGAATTATTTACATCAAGATCTATACAACTGTACCAACATTAGAAGTTACTACATAACCGAAGTTGAAGCCCGTCTCTTAAACGAAATTAATCTAAAGCATTGTGATTACCAGTTTGGAAGAGAGCAATTTACTTCAAGAGACTTAATAGTTCGACTGTCCGATGCAAACGAGTTTTACCAATTTTTAGGACATTGTTATCACAAGTTAGTGAATACCCTGGAAACTGAACTGACTAGTCGTTGCGGATTTATTCGAATTAATAGGGAATCAGTAGTTCCGTTTACAGTATATAATGACCAAAAATACGTGCCCCTTTTCTACTTTGAGGGCGAAACTGATAATCTTAAGCAGAGAGCTGACAAACTGGAAGGCTGGGACCTTTCCTATTTGAAGTTTTGTTGTAAAGTGCAGGGCATCAGGAATGAACTATTTGCCCATGACTCCTGCTCCGTCATTAGCTTAAGCGATATCAAAAATTACTTTCCTCCTGGGACAATTTTCGAAGACTATTGGCCCAAAAAAAATTTGGATTCGTCCCAGCTTCTGGTTTCTGGAAGAACAAGCTTGCCACAAAATGTTCATTGGACGAGACAGCCTGTTGCGCCACCAATTGCGACCCACCCGCCTCCCAGCCCTAAACCAGCTACGCAAGCCAAAGCAGCGTCCAATGGACCCATGCACAATGTGCATGTTTTTGGGAACAACTACGCTATTGCTGGCAGTCAACCTACGTATCATGCCACTCAACCCAGAGCTGCCAGCTCAGCGGTAAGGGCGACTTACTCTGCTACGTCTACCCGCCACTTGAGGCCTGCGGCTTACTATGGTAACATCGGCCAAGCTCCTCCACCTCCACTAGTTAGATCAGCAACGTAAGTACCACTTGATATCAGTTCTTTCTATGTCTGCTATCAAATTGGTTTTTCACTTTGCGTACTTATTGCATGAAGTGTTTTAACCATCTTATCGTTTTTTTTGTCAAAATGACTAGATACCCCTAGTCAGATTTGCAAGAAAAGCTGGGGATATTTTAGCAGACCATTTGGTTACAGTTGAACCAAACTAGTTCAGTTACTGAAAATGTTTGCTTCAACGTGTAAGTCAAATTCAATTTATGTACACTATACCTAGCCTCCATAATCTATCTGTAGTTGTTAGCTCATTTATATGCATAAAGTGTATGCATTTTGTATCTAACTCACTTAACTTACCGCTTAAGAAAAACACGTATTGCGCCCTACTGGCAAGATCTGTCGCATGATTTTGGTTTCATATTTTTGTATTTTAAATCATCATGTCTAATGCTGTTAGTACGTAGTGTACGTTTCAGTTAACTATGAATGATTTGCTATGTAAAATTGCCTTCGAATTCATCTATTATCTTTCAAACTATTTAGGGATGTTTGCTTGAGTATCATTGAACAGCTCTATTTCTGTAAGACGAATGAGAGTAACTATCCCATTAATAAAGTGAACTTTTTTTCCTGGATAGTTATCGCTTTAATCCGGCAGCAGCCTGTGATCAGAGGCTGGATGATAGCTCTTGGTGAGTCTAGTGGATTGGTGTTTTAAAGAAAAGTTAGAGACATTAACAGAGTGATTCAATACGACGGATTCGATTAGTTATCATACGTTAAGTAAAAGGTTATATCGTTATTTTAAATCCCAAAGTAAATTAGTTGAATCACTTTGTATTCACAGAGCAGTGGCACAGGTTAATCTTTCTAGACCTGATTTACATTTTACGTTTCATACTGAGATTCATTGAGGCATGTTAGATTTGAAAGCAGAATGAGAAATATCTGAAAAAGACCCCGTTTTCGTCCACTAAGAAAAAATGTGAAAGGTGCTTATTTATGTTGTTTCTGTTGGCCAGGTTTACCGCCCCCAAACGCACCTGCATTTAAAATTCATATAAAAAGAACGCGTTGATAAGCTTGTATGCGAATTTTACATAATTTTCTGCTATTGCTTGGTATAAATATGTAAGTAGCATCATGCAGCTTTAGTTAAACAGTTATTTCACGTTTGGTCTTACTGCAGATTTATTTGCAGGATGGGTCAATACAATCCCCCAAAAAACACTGGTAACAACTACATGGTTGTTGAGCTTCCTAACAATTATCATCCAGGAACTCCACAAAGTAACTACCCTCCACCACCACTGCTGCAACACATGAATGGGTCCATATCAAGATATGATGTTCCCCAAAGGTAGTTAAACATCACATTTGTTGATGTTTATTACTTTGTCAGATTAGTAGGAACTTCTTTTCAAATGAGACAAAATCATATTTAATGATTGGTAGTGTTGTTTAGGTAACTGTGTTGTTCCACTGGGTGGAAGTGGAAGGCAAACTTGAAAACTTAAAAGTATTTCAATATATCAACTTTGTTCTGATTACTTACTTACTTAATATGATAGTTTTTGTTTAATTACGTTTTTATATTATAGTTTCTTTAAAGTACATACAATTGTTTCATTGAAGTACGTACAGTTCTCTGTACGCTGCATAGAAATGGTCCTACCTTAAATAGATAACTGTCGTTGTTTTTCAGAAACCAAACATCAGAACAGAACAATCGCATATGCTTGATGTGAGATCATTTAATACTTATTGAATATATATGTGACTGGAAACGAAAGCAAATCGGGATTGTACGTAAATGTATTAAATGATCCCAGCTGAAGCAGCTGTTCATTCTTTTCTGATCTAATGTTTGGTTGATAAAAAAAAGTCCAAGTTTAAAGTGGGCCAATTTCTATTCACGTAAGTGTACGATGTTGACACAGGCCCTTGTTTAGTTGAATTGATACAGTCATGTTTTAATTGATTTCAGCAATTTTGGTACAAACCGATCGTTAGACACAATTGTAAATCAAAATCCGGCGCATCAAGCATCGTCTAGGACACAGACAACCGTCTCGACTGCACAAGAGAATAATCCAGCCTTAACTAACGGAAGGTCATTACTAAACAACTCAGGCAGTAGGAACAAACTAATAAATCTACCTGAATCAAGCCCTCCTCAAACAGCAGGCCCTAACATTCCATATAAAATGCAGAAAGCTCAGGTTCAAGGAAAAATGCTTAGTTTAATAAACATGAAAGTAAATGTATTCACGGAGCATCTCGTCACATTGCAAGACTTGGTTATGACCTTTTTTAATGGGGTACCTGTGCAGAGCTGCCTCAAAGTCATGGAAGTTTTAGGCATTGAGGTTTATAATGCGAACGCGTAAGTGTTGTCTACTTCTAACACTCATCAAAAATCTAATATGTCAATTATTTATTTCAGCGGCCAAATGCAGGTACTTATTGAGAATGGCAAGTGTACAAATAGGCATGAAGCAGTACCTTTAGTTCAAGTAAGAAATGTGATAGATTATATGCCACAGTTGAAGTATATGTTGAGTGGAATGTTATCTGAGGGGCCCGGTAAAAGACAAAGAAATAGCTAGGGGTCAATTATTTGGAGGCCACCATGGACGAATGATGAGCCACCTAGTTTCGAAGTGCCACCGCGGATAGACAATTCACCATGCCTCCACGCATCTCCTACCGTTAATATGTTCAGTGAAATTCGGAAAAAATATCAATCACTTACTCAATTGGAAAAATTGGCTGAAAATTATGTTACTAACGTGGGCGATGCATATTGGGATCACATGTCAAATTATCTGCTGGACGCTACTATCCAGTATCATCTGGATAACAGTTTGTTGAAACAGGAAACTAAGGCTCAGAGTAAGTTATCCTTGAATGACCCTCGATTTAATTGTTATTGGTGAGGAAGGGCACATCTATTTTTTAAAAGTTTGTTCCTATGAGAGTGTAAATCCATATAGACATTATTCAAAGTTGAAGTACATCGTATTGTATTTATATGGTTTATGCTGATATTTTATCATTTTTTTTACGTTTAAATAACCCTGTAAGGAATGTGCGTAATGTGACACTTTTACAGATATTTCAATTTAAATTAATTATTTATGTAATAGATACATGGAGTATGCAACATACAGAAAGATATCTAATTAAATATGTCAAAATCGCACAACGTTTTCCTTTGGCAGCCAAATTAGTTTCTGACAATTTTACATCTTGTACATGTAATTAATTGTCGGTTAAGTTAAGAAATAAATTGAACCGATTTTATTTATGTTGCATACTTTAGTTTTAATAGTTTTTAATCATCTGGTTGTATTTCGACAGTCGCTTTTGAAATAGATTTATCATGTAAAGCAATTATCACTATGCCACACTCTCATGGAAGAATGATCAATTATTTCGAGTTAAAGTACAAAAAGTACAATTGAATTTAAAGTGATGAACTACTTGAATATTCTTCTTAAGGGAGCATACACAACATACAAGGCATACGCTTTACTTGATACGACTCGTCAAAATCAACAGTCGTTCGGTTGGATACACTTCTAAATTCACCAGTCAAATATGTAACTGTAAGGAAACTGCCAATATTTTCTTTGAACATTTAATACAGATTAAAAAGCGGCTAGGTATTACTGTTTAAGTTGGTTGGAATCTCACAATGAAACAATTCATTTTGATAACAGTATTGAATTTGATTGCTGAATTTGTACGTTTAAATGTTATTAATTTATAGTTTTTGAGTGGCATTTGTATAGTTAATTTAAAGGAGAATATCTGTCCATAGCATCCGTTATAAGGATTATTTATTTTAGGTAAACAGTATATCCTAACTAGCTGTTAACTTAATGTGAATTTGTCCATGGTAGGGGTTAAATAGAAATATGTAATCCGAAACAATATGTAGCTGAAACATTTCAATTTCCATTTTATCTTTAACTCTCATATAATTTTCAATTCTTTGGCAACGCGTTGTCTTGTCTCGAACTCCATGTGACTCAATACGTTTTAAAGATTCCGTTTCATCTTAAACTTGTCTATATGTTTAAAAAAAGGGTTGCAAATTAATTTATAACGCAAAAATGCTTATTTATGAGCGTATGCATTTGGGGTTGAGCTCCAAAGCAAGATGTTGCCAAAATGTGAGTCTTAAGTTTGTTTATTCATCACCTATATCTACGGTTTTTTAGCAGGTTTGCATTCGTAATCACAGTGTCTGTTGTTTGTTGGAACATAAAAAGCGAAACTGGCTCTGATAATCTGAGTCAACTATGATGTGACCTTAAAACATGCGTGAGTGTAACTTGCGCTTTTATTTTGTATCATTTTTATTAAATAATAAAACTATTAATTTTCGCAGACACACCTTAAAAACAGCTGTCGAAGATCACAACCCAAATGTTCTATTTAATAATGGGCTATATGTTTAGAAACAATGCATTTATACTTTTTAGTGTCCAATTTGTTATATCAGAGTAAAAGGTACATCTTCAATGTAGTTCGGTCGCAAGCCAGGGTAATATGCAAATGTAGTGATTTTGCATTTTGTGCCAATTTCATAAATTCGCTTGATTAAAAGTCTTCAAGCTCCTTGTTCTGATGATAATAGTTTTGAGATTACTAGATTGTGTAGTTCACCGACGAATATGTGATATTTGTTTTATTTTCTTCTGATGACGAGCCTTAAGATGCTGATTGTTATCACACATTTGCAAGTAGAAAGGAGTGTTACTGTGCAATTTAATAATCGTAATTTTTTAAACGTTTTGCTAGTTAAAGAGGTGATGAATTAACGATCTGCGTATTTTGTGTTAAGTAAGAGAGCTAAGACCGTACATATGTTTAGCATGTAATGATGGAGTTATAGGTAACATTTATCAAACCTGTATTATTTATATATAAATTTAATTTTTTGAGATTTCCATGTTTGATTTTTGCCAGCACAATTAACGTTGAGGATATTTGGAAATATGAATGCATTATTTCGTTTGCTTCGTATTAATATGATTTCCCCTAAATAGACCAAAAATTTACACATTCAGTATACGTTTATCAGCTCTAGTTGCTTCACTTATATACAGTTTTGAATAACATATAAGGGTGTAGTATATTGTACATAAATAAATTATTTTGCTTTTTTCTGTGAAAAAAAAAGGGGGAACCAATTTCTCTGATTACAAAGACTCTTCGAGTGCTTGACCTTGTATTACCAGTTAGAAGGTATTTTGTTATGGAATAAGGAAAATTATTTACAAGAATAATAGATACGTAAATATTAAGAAATTTGTAATTATACTTAATTTTTGGCTCTCTTGAATATTTGATTATTCTTTGATATAAGAACTGAACGAGAGTTATTGGCACACAAATTTCTCCCACTAAACCACTTTTTAAATGTAAAAATGAAAGAACTGTTTTCTCTCTCTCGGAAAACTTCCCTTTAGTAAGAACAATGTATAAACACTTCTAATTTTACTAAATAGTGTGCAGTTAATTTGTTAATTGGCAAGTTTGTTTCATACTATTAGTAGTCTTAATATTACGATAAATGTACATAAACAGACATTACTCAAATACATCTTTTAAGTTCTATTACTAAGCTGTATGGTTTTATTTCGTGTGAAACCACGAGAAAATAATTTTATAACTGAGTATAATTATGATTTGATTGAAAGCTGGAACGATAACTTTAATGAGTCAACCTGCGGCCTATAAAGTGAATGCACTTGATGTTGACAAACAGTATTAAACTTCTAAAAATAAATTAGCGCGTGCTATAAGGGATGAGAAAAGGGGCGAATTAGCGCAGTAATAAGTTCGTGTCAACCCCAAATCGAAATACAAGTCAGCTGAGTGCGCGAGTATTTGTGCGCGTTTCGAGAGGTGCTTCCTCATTTCAGTGAGGATTTATCTGCTGCAATGGACAGAGTGTTAAAACGAGTGGGCCTTTCAAAAAGGCCACAATTAGATAACGAAACGAATGTAACAGTAGAAGAAAGCCTTCAAATTCGACGAAGAAGACGATCGAAATCTCGGAGAAGAACGCGCGCCAACCCGGAAATAAACAAAAAGTCACGGGGAATATTTAATATTGATTGGGATGTTGTAAAAGATTGTAGATCTTGCAAATCTAAAGCGATCACCAGACGATTTTGCAGTAAGAAATCGGATAACGAACTTTACAGATCCAATAGTTTCAAGTTCGAGAGGTTTACTAGAAATAGTGGCGACCTTTCACCGATCAAAAGAAAGGTGAGTCATTATTATTTCCAAATTTTTTCACCATTGTGGCGAAGAAAATTTAAATTGCATCTTTACGCGATTAGATTTTTTTCAACAATTCAGTCAACTTAGCAAAAGCATGAATTATGTCGACAGCAACAAGCAGGGCGAAATTGATTTTAGTGGGTCTTTACCTCCAGTAAAGCGAAATATCTTGAGACGTTACCTGTTTGTCTGTACCTGGTAACATTTGTGGTAAAAGATCATTGATGTTTTTTACTGCCTAAAAACATGAACTTGGTTATTACATAAATTACATAGAGCGATAGAACGTGTTTATGATCAAAAATAAACACGCGAATACTAGGCAGAGTAGCTTTGTAAAAAGTTTGTCATAATTTATTGTGGTATGATACTCCTCTGACTGATTCCAAATTGTTTGTTAAGGGAAACCTAAGTCTAGGTACTAACAATCGAAATATTGCCTTGCATTAACTTTTGCAGAAAAAGTCTATTATATAATAGAGTAAGAATAATCAGCTTTATTTGACACAGGCGATATTTATTATTTTTTAATCCTGAACTCAAGATAGAGAAGACTCTAAGTCTGAGAAATTCTGTGAATCCCCTAGTCACTTGTGTTATTGTTTCAGACCTTGATAGAATGCAATAGGCGATTTTCCAATGAACTGGTAAGTTTTACCATTCCGCAACACGTGACAAACTTTCGACCTACACTCGATTTACTGACGTTCTGCTAAACTAATTGTGATGGTTGCACGCAAACCGATCCCATTTTAGGCGTGATTGCTAAATTATTAATTGCCATTAACCTAACAGCTTTCGCGTTTATTGAAAAGTTTCTAGCAGAATTCGCTGTTTCGACGAGTCCTAATTACTGTTTCTCGTTTTAAATTAGCCAGACTTGGGAGAGAAATCTATTCAACTCGCCCTCCGGTGATAAATATTACTGGGGGTCCAAAACCATGAGAAAGTCGTTGGATAATTTCTCAATTATCTGACAAGAAATTACGTGGGATCAAACCCAATAAAGAACACCTGGAGAATTATATTCGTTCACCTCTAGTCAGCTTTAGCTGCAGATTTTGAATTCCAATTCGATTTTAATCCCGATCGCATTGTCTTTTTTTTATTTGCCGATGTTTTTCACTGCAAAAAGCGCATGGGGAATAGGGAGCTTGAATTTGATTGTTCTATGATATGAATGGATGTCGGAATGGATTTTGAAATCCGCGATTATTTTTACACGATCAGAATGTTGAAATTTGGTCTCAACCGGTACAATAATATACAGGGTGTCCGGTAAGCACACGATCAAAAGGGCACTGGGAACTGAGACATTCTTTGGCTAACTTTTATTCGGAAAAAATGTCCGGCTTCTAAATTTTTTGCCCAAAAACCCTGCAAGATTAGTGCATCGACTTAAAAAGAATCAGTTGATTCCCGAGACCAAATAAAAAGTTGTGGTAGTTTTTGTAGCAAGACGGTCAAGAATTCCTCACTTTGCTCCATCAAAACATGAGTCTTGCATAAGGACAAAGAAACCTACGATACATTTTTTTGAAGAACTGACCATCAATAGCAGAACCCAGACATTTTTTCGGATCGGATCGTGCTCATTTGCTCCAAATAATATCGCAGAACCCTTTTGATCATGCTCTTACAGGACAGCCCGTATACGAACTGCTTATTGGCGATTCCAGATAATCTGTATACTATATTTCAATTACACAATGCTCTCTGTTTCGAGCAAGAAGGGGTTTACTGATTTATCGGGGCAGTATATCAAAACTAATGCAGCATTTATCAAAATTGAAATTATGGATTTTGAAGGTAACCCCATGCCCCAAAGGCAATAAATCTGCAATAAGGTAGCGTCAATCGAAACTCGAAGGCAACTGAAATTTGATCATAACTTAATTAGGATCGAAGTGGACAGTCGCTGATTGCTGTTCGGTATACAGCAGGAAATTTAGGGGGTTCGTGTAATCACAGCTACATGCTCTATTATGAGATTTTCGATGTTTTACCATAATTGAATCAACTTCCTTCCCTTTTCTCGTTTTCATCGAATATTGTCGTAATTGTACGTACTTTCCTGACTGTGTTTCAATTCCAAATTAAAATCAAATCCTGGGCTCTTCAGTCATTTATTGTCTATTTATCAATTAAAAAAACGTTTCGGTGTTTTCCACCATCATCAGTTTCAATGTGTAGCGTTGTTGCTACTTTAA